ATTTTTTTATCTATAAATAAAATAAAATTATATATATAATATTTACAAAATTTTACAAGCCCAAATTTGAAATAAAATATATAAACATTGAAATCTATAAACTAACTAAAAATATATTAACAAAGTAGATTATAAATAATATTTTTATTTAAAACATAAAGTGATAGCTTTTTGAAATTTTGGGAAGTGTAAAAGCTACTTTTGAACTGATAGCTTACTTTTTAGAAAGTTGAAAAAGTGGGGCCCAGCGCGTGTTGAACAAAGCTTTCAACCTATTTGGTTTATATTGTCACGTAAGCCGAAAAGTGGTAAAAAATTAATTAAAAAATAAGTTTGGGGGGGGGGGGGTATTAGGACCTTAGTAAAGGTTAGGTGTGTCTTAGGGATTTTGGGCATATGCTGGGGGATACTTATGCATTTTCCCTATAAAATTTCTAAATTTAGTTTGGACTGACATTTTAAGCGTTCACTTCTCTTCTTTTCAAAAGTATAATCAAACAAAACTCTATTTTCAACTCTAACTTCATAAATTTTAAATAAATTAAGAAAATTCGAAATCTCATCACCAATAAACGCCTTCTAATACTTGATGACTAAAGAACGATGATCCTTTATATTTTGAGGTCTCTTGATTGATGGATAAAGTTATGGAGGAAGCATAATTTTTCTATTATAATAGAAAAAATTAAAAGTTGGATTATTTAGTATATACTTCCTCCGTCTACTTTTAATTGTCATGTTGTGATTTTCGAAAGTTAATTTGACTAATTTTTAAAGTAAAATTAGATTATATTAATTTGATATTTTAAACAAAAAAAAGTAGATATTCAAAAACTATATGAAAAGTACTATATATTGCAATTCTTTGTATATCAATATGATAAAAAAAATACATTTTAAAATGTTAGACAAAAATCTAAACACTACGACAATTTAAAGTGAACGGATGGGATATAAAGTTTTAGTTAAATATTTGGTTCATACTTCATATCATAGTATTAGAAATTAGATATTCTTCAAAAATTAAGATATAGTGTTTTGATGTTCACCCTCAAATGGTCCCTAGATTCAAATTTCAAAAATTATGAATAAAAATTGAGTCAGGAGCCAAAAGGGTAAAATAATTTGTCAAAAATGCGATAACAAAATTGATTTTAAAACTAAAAGGATAACTTTATAACGGATAAATTAACGTCGTTCAAATTAGGGTGACAGCTGCAAAGCGCGAAATCCCATGCGCCTGCAGCGGCTTGCGCCTTGCGAGGCACAGTAGAATTGCGTCTTCCCTGTTAATTAAAAAAGAGTAAAGACATAAAGACACAATCAAAGTTGTCCCGTATTTGCATAAAGACGCCTTACCTTTCAAAGTGTCCTATCACCCCACAAAACTATTTAATATCATTTTAAATGGGCCATTTTGATCCATTCCCTCGTCTATGTAGTGGCGCGTGTTGCTCACTCCATGTGATAGAATTCAATCCGACCCGACCCGACCCTGTTCTTTGAAGAAAAGTCGTTTCTCCTTTTCTTTCTTATTTCTCAACTTTCCCTAAAATCTGAAGAAATAGAAAAGATTTCTCGTCGTGTTAGTGTTGATAATCTCGTTGTTGATGTGTCTTGGTGAAGATTCTTGGAGATTGAAGGTCTAACAGGTTAGGGCTTTACATCATATGATAAAGATCTTCTCTTTTTTCGATTATTATGATTTTAGGGATTATTATAGAGTAAAAGTGTTTGAATTGACCTCCTATAGTTGCCATTGTTAGGATATTGTTAGGATATTATAGTTTTTCGTTGATACTGTTAGGGTTAGGGTGTTGTGTTATCAACTTAGTGCGACTGTTAGTGATTAGGGTTTTGTGTTATCGACTTAGTGCGACCATTAGTGATTGTGTTTTAGGTTAGGGTTTGATGTTATCCACTTAGTTCGAATCTTATTATTTGTCTCTTATACATTTGTAGACTTCAATTTGTACATTATTGACTGCTACTGTTAGTGCTTTTGTTCTGTTAGTGATGGGGCTAAATGTTAGTACTGTTAGTCTCTTATACATTCGTTGTTACTGTTAGGGCTAAATGTTAGTGTTGGAGCTTATACATTTGTAGACTTCAATTTGTACATTATACATTTGTAAACAATCTTTTGTTCGGTTAGTGATGGGGCTAAATGTTAGTGCTACTGCTACTGTTGCTTGTTAGAGTTTGTTCTTGAAATGTGTGTTTAAATTGTGTTTGTCTTTGTTACATGCTTTTTCAGGATGGTTTTTACTCTGATAACTCTAAGATGGTATCATGGGGGGTAATAGAATTTGGTCCCCCACCTAAATATATTGGGGGGCATGTGACAGAATTCCTAGATGTAGATGTTGATAGGATGTCTTATTTTGAGTTGAGGGACTACATAAAGGAACTAGGATATACAGTAGATTGTGATTTTTTCATCAAGTGGGATGGGTTATTGGTCCTTGTTGATAATGATAAGGTTATATTTGACCTTTTCAATATGATAAATGATGGGGATACAGTGGAGGTGTATGTTTTTCATGGGGTTAGTGAAGCCAATCAGGCCTCACTTGAATTGGAGTCTGTCCCCAATGTGAGTGATAGTGGGGTAGGTGAGGGATCTTTTAATGAGGCTTCTAACCCTAATAATCAGCCTCCTACTTCTACTTTTCCTTCCATCCCTACAACCGGCCTTCTGAAACTTCTCACTATTTCCTTCTTCTACTGTGCCTCCACCATCTCCTTCTACTGTGCCTTCTTCTTCCACTGTACCTCCTCCTTCCACTGTGCCTCCACCCTCTCCTTCTATTGTGCCTCATCCTTCCTCTGTACCTTCATCTGATCATATAATAGATAATGATCCAACTGATGATGAAGTAGAAGGTGAATCAAAATCTGAAGGGGATACTAATGAAGATACTGAGGTTGACAGTGATGTCCATCAAGAGTATATAGATATAAAGGCATCCAAGAGGCATTTCAAAAGGTCACAAAGGAGAAGTAGATGTACTAATTTAGATCAGATTAATGTTGATGAAAAAGGTCCAGATATAAGGTATGATGAGACAAATATTGGTATTAGGGAAAGCTTAGTTGGTAAGCTAGGAGGTGATGAACCTTACTATCTAAGTGATGAAGCTCCTAGCTTTGAAATAGATGATGAAACAGGTTGGGGAGATGGTGAAGAGATTGATCAAGTAGTGCATAAACATGTTAGGAGGAAGAAAACCCCAAATAGAGTTGTGTTTGATGCAACTTCTGAAAAGATTGTTTGGGAATTAGGACTGGTTTTTGAAACTATTGAAGAATTTAGAGTGGTAGTGACAAGATATGCAGTCCAAGAACACATTCAAATTGAAAAATATGTGAATGAGCCTGGCAGAGTTAGAATGAGATGTTGTAAAGAGACTTGTTCTTGGTTGTTGTGTGCAAGTAAAGATAAAACTAGTGGAGATGTCATTGTTAAAACATACAACCCTGTCCATAAATGTTTGACATCAACTCATAACTATCTTTGCAACTCAAAGTTTTTGGCCACCAAATACAAAGAAAGAATAACTCAACAGCCAAACATCAACATTGTGTTGTTGAAGGACATAATTAGAAAGGAGTTGGATATTAATGTTGGTAGGACAATAGTGAGAAGAGCTAGGACTAGAGTGTTACAAGAGAGCATGGGTGATCATATTGTGGAGTATGGTAAGATTTTTTATTATAAAGATGAAATTTTAAGGAGTAATCCAGGTAGTACTTGTGTAGTGAAGGTTGGAGAAGAAGATGAAACTGGGCAGAAATTTTTTGAAGGATTTTATGTTTGCCTCAATGCTTTAAAGAAAGCATTTTTTGGAGGTGCTAGGAGGTTGATTGGTTTTGATGGGTGTTTTCTCAAAGGTGTGTGTAAAGGCCAGTTATTAGTGGCAGTTTGTAGAGATGGAAACAACCAAATGCTGCCTATTGTTTGGTGAGTTGTTGAGGTTGAGAATCAGTTTACCTGGACATGGTTTCTTGAACTAGTGAAGAATGATCTTGACCTTGGAGAAGGGCATCAACTATCCATCATTACTGATATGCAAAAGGTAATTATCTTACTGATCTTACTGTTTTATTGTTGTTGAGTTTTGCATTTTAATTATTCTTTTTCTGTTATGTTGGTTTGTTAGGGACTAGAAATTGCTATTGAAAATGTATTGCCACTGGTTGAACACAGAAAATGTGCAAGACATGTTCTTGCAAATTGGTGTAAAAACTGGAAAGGAGTTGAAAGAAGAAGAGTGTTTTGGAGGATTGCTAAATCCACATTTGAAGCTGAGATGAAGGATAATATACAGGCAATGAAGAAATTAGGACAAGAATGTTTGGATGATCTTTTATGGTACAACTTGAATACATGGTGCAAGAAGTATTTTCAAGACTATAGCAAATGTGATGTTGTAGACAACAATATGGCAGAAAGCTTTAATGTTTGGATACTGCCTGCAAGGTATAAAACAATAATCACAATGCTTGAGGAGATAAGGGTGAAGATGATAGAAAAGAATTGGTGATTTGAGAGAGTTCTCAAAACACTTGGATCACTGATATATCTCCTATGTCTTTGAAGATTTTGCAAGAAAATATTGAAAAGTCTATGCAATGTAACTTGACTTGGAATGGAGAAAGAGGTTTTGAGATTAAACATCATGGATTTACACATACTGTGGATATTGTTAGTAGGAGTTGTAGTTGCAGATCCTGGCAGCTCAGGGGCATTCCTTGTCCTCATGGTGTTGCTGCCCTTCATTACAAGGAGTTGGAATCAATCCATTATGTGGCTAGTTGTTATAGCAAAGAAACGTACCTCAGCACATATGCCCATTTTATTCAGCCAATGAATAACATGAAATGTGGCCAACATCAAATAATCCAATTGTAAAGCCACCAAGATCAAGAAGTTGCCTGGAAGACCAGGTAAGGTTAGAAGAAAAGAGGCAGATGAAAGCAGAAAAACTGGAAAGCTTAGCAAAAGAGGTGCTGTTATGACTTGTAGCAAATGTGGTACACAAAGACACAATAAAAGAGGATGTCCTACAAGAAATCAAACTGGTCCAAGTCAATCAACTGCACCATTTTCTTAGGCACATGTACTTTTATTTGTTACTTTCAAATGTAAGCTATATGTACATGTATTGATATATTAATATACAGGCTACTGAAAGTGGTAGAGGAAGAGGCACAGGAAGAGTAGTAGGAGGCAGAGCAAGGGCTAGTAGTTCAACTCAACCACCTAGAGCCTCTTCACAGGCCACCACAAATAATGAAAG